TGCTCTGTCACCCAGGCTGGAATGCAACAGCGCAATCTTGGCTCACTGCTGCCTCCGCCTCCTGGGTTCCAGCTATTCTCCTGCCTCAGCCTCCTGAGTAACTGGGATTACAGGCATGCACCACCACACCCGGCTAAATGTTGTATTTTTAGTAGAGATGGGGTTTCACCGTGTTGGCCAGGTTGGTCTCAATCTCCTGACTTCAAGTGATCTGCTTGCCTTGGCCTCCCAAGTGTTGGGATTATAGGCGTGAGCCACCGCGTCCCGCCGGGACATTTCCATTACCTCATAAAGAAACTGCATCCTGGTTAGTTGCCACTCCCTCTCCCACCCAAACCCCCAGTCCTAGGTAACCACTAACCACTTTATGTCTATAGATTTGCCTCTTGTAGACATTTCAAATAAATGGAAGTAAACAACGTACACTCTTTGGTAACTGGCTTCTTTCACTTAAAGCTTTTTCAATGTTCATCTCTGTTACAGCATGTTTCAGTACCTTCTTTTTATTACTAACCCATTTCCATTAGATAAACTCAATTTTATTTATCTCTGCATGAGTTGATAGATGTTTAGGTTGCTTCCACTTTTGGCTACTAGGAATATTATGCCGTAACAAACATTGATGGAAATTTGTGTGTGTGTGTGTGTGTGTGTGTGTACATTTTCATTGCTCTTGGGTATATGTCTAGGAGAATTGCTGGGTCATACAGTAAATTTATGCTTAGCATTTTGAGGAACTACCAGCCTATTTTCTAAAGCAGCTGTACCATTTTACCTCCCCACTAGCAATGTACGAGGGTTCCAGTGTCCCCATTCATTGTTATTGTGGTCTTCCCTGCCTCCGCCACCTGTCCCCATTTTTTAAACCAGGCACATCGGCTTTATGTTGTTGTCCTTTGTTCTGAGATGGAGTCTCACTCTGTTGCCCAGGCTGGAGTGCAATGGCGGGATCTCATCTTACTGCAACCTCCACCCCTCTGGGTTCAAGCAATTCTTGTACCTCACCCTCCCGAGTAGCTGGGATTACAGGTGCCCATCACCACACCCAGCTAATTTTTATATTTTTAGTAGAGACGGAGTTTCGTCATGTTGGCCAGGCTGGTCTCAAACTCCTGACCTCAGGTGACCTGTCCACCTCGGCCTCCCAAAGTGCTGGGTTACAGGTGTGAGCCACTGCACCCAACCTGTTCTTTTTTCTCTTTTATTATAGTCATCCTAGTGGGTGTGAGGTGGTTTTGATTTGCATTTTTCTAATGGCTAACAATGCTGGACATACTTTCATGCGCTCGTCGGTCATTTGTGTATTTTCTGTAGAAAATGGCTACTCAGATTCTTTGCTCACTTTTAATGGATAATTTGACAGTGCCTTTAACATGTCATTCAAAACACTTTATAAATATTTTTAGTTTCATCTCCAGTATTGTCTTCCCCTTAAGCCCCCAAACGCCTCCAGACCTCCTCAAGTAGACTCCAAGCCTCATAGCTGTAAGGAACCCACTCATGATTGCCCAGATGTCCTGCTCTTGGCGTCTCTGCCCATGCTTTTTCCTCACTATGGGCCACCTTCCTTTGTGCCCCAGGTAGGGAATGTCTCCCATCCCTTCAGACACTGGCTCTAAGGTTATCTTAGAGGTCAGCCAAACTGGAGCTGCCCACTCCTGCCCTTGGGTATGTCCACCACCCACGACTGAGCTCCCCAAGGCAGGGAGAGTATCTGATTAATCCCTGGGTGTTTCGAATAATCAATATAGAGCAACAGCTTGGTAAATATTTGTTGAGTGTGCCAGGCACGGTGGCCCACACCTGTATCCCAGCACTTTGGGAAGCTGAGGCGGTGGCTCACAAGGTCAGGAGTTAGAGACCATCCTGGCTAACATGGTAAAACCCCATCTCTACTAAAAATACAAAAAATTGGCCAAGGTGGGTGGCTCATACCTGTAATCCCTGTACTTTGGGAGGCCAAGGCAGGTGGATCACAAGGTCAGGAGATCAAGACCAGCCTGGCCAACATGGTGAAACCCTGCCTCTACTAAAAATACAAAAATTAGCTGGGTGTGGTTGTGTGCGCCTGTAGTCCCAGCTGCCCGGGATGCCGAGGCAGGGGAATCGCTTGAACCCAGGAGGCGGAGGTTGTAGTGAGTCAAGATCACGCCACTGTGCTCCAGCCTAGGTGACAGAGTAAAACTCCGTCTCAAAAAAAAATTTGGTGAGTGAACTCTTCAGATTTGGGAAAACACATTTTCCGTCATCCACCTATGTATTATACAGCAAAACTTTTCCTATAATTCTTGCTTTGGGTGGTGATGTCTTCCTCTAAAAATCCTGACAAAAGCAGAGAATGGAAATGATACAGGAAAGTCACCTGCATTGGACAGTGACCTCAGGTCTCATCTCCACTCCTGCTTTTATCCTGATTGATGACTTTTCTTTGTGAATGCAGACAGGCAGAGGCTCGCTAGGCAGCTGCACCATGCACCCTGTCCCTGATCATTCTTAGAGGCAGAGATCAAAGGAGACCCATTGGCTGAGAGAGTCTACAACTTGCCACATGATCTATTGCTCTGCCTTGAAATTTTAATTGCCTCTTTAAGCCCGGACACAGTGGCTCACGCCTGTAATCCCAGCACTTTGGAAGGCTGAGGTGGGCGGATCACCTGAGGTCAGGAGTTGGACACAGCCTGGCCAACACGGTGAAACCCGGTCTCTGCTAAAAATACAAAAATTAGCTGGGCGTGGTGGCGGGCACCTGTAATCCCAGCTATTGGAGAGGCTGAGGCAAGAGAATCGCTTGAACCTGGGAGGCGGAGGTTACCGTGAGCCGAGATTGTGTCATTACACTCCAGCCTGGACGACAAGAGTGAGACTCTGAGTTAAAATATATATATATAAAATCAGATGTGTTAGTGTCTTCATAAATGTCATAAAAAGAAATGTTTAAGTGCCAAAATTGAACAGCAGTACAGTGACCTTTGAAAGTGTTGTTTAGGGTATTAAATGTGTAACTAGTGACGTTTTGTGTGTTTTTAATTTTTTTTCTTATCCAGCTCGGTGGAATAGCTGTTGCTTGTCCCATTGTTAGAATTTGGGCTGATAGAAAGGAGAGGAGCTGGAGATTCATTTAGCTGTTCAAGGGCAGACTCGATTTCAGAAGAGGCACCAGATAATAGCCCTGTGGGTCCCCAGCCGCTGGTGCTGAGAAATGATGCAGAGCTGAGCCCTCAGATCCCAGATCACCCGCGGCTCCTGGGGCATCTCTGGGGAAGGGACTTATTAATGTAGACCCTGATGCAAGGTCCCAAGTCGTCTTTATCCATGGTCTATCTGCACAGCCAGGACCCTGTGGGGCTGGGATTGGGAGGAGAGGAATGGCGGAGCTGCCCGCCCCCTTGGCTCTGTGGACTCCAGAGGGATGGTCAGTACCTGCAGCATTTCACACACACCAGACTCATTACTATTGGAGCAATTTGTGAACTAGAGTTGAGACTTCTCTAGAGAAGATAAAAGGTTAGGAAGCTGCTTAGTGCCTGGGTCTGGGAGGCAGCTTCCAGGCAATATCTCACTGAGTCAGGACAAGGCCCATCACTCCCTGTCCCCGCCAGGCCGGGTATTTGCCGGGATATGAAACGGAAGCCAGGTTTTTGGAGAGGCTGAAGCTGATTTTTTTTTGACAAGGTTCTTTTGCCAGCAAGGAAGCGGCCTTCACGCCGCACCCTCTGGACCCCAGTGTGGTGCATCGCGCCCCCTGGTGCCCAAAAGGCGCAACTACGTGCCATGCCAGCCAGCTCTCCTGGACTTGATTCAATTTTTCCAATTCTCCTGTTCCTCGCCCACCCTTCTCTTTGTTGTGCCCACTGTGGTCCACGCCGAGGCTCCCCTCCCTCCTCCCTGCCCCAAGCAGTCATGAACAAAATCCTCATTGTCTGAAGAGAAGTGCAATAGTAAAACTTTTCTTTTTGTTTGCGTAGGGGAAGAGCTGGTGTTAACGGGGTCAGGCAGGCAAGGAAGGCATGAAGTGATAAATAGGAAAATGATGAAAGATGGGGACAAACCCAGGGGACCTGATGGACCTACCCTAACAAAAAATTGGCGTACAAAAAAAAGTGTATTAAAATTGCGAGAGCACACCAACTCATTCATCATTCGTGTCTTTATAAAGAACAAACCTGAAGCTTCAATGAGAAAGAAGTGAAGTATTCTAGGGCTGCCTGAAATCTGAACTTTTAACATAGGCTTTGATTTCTGAGTTGTGTGCTTGCATATTAGAGATGTGATCGTGTCTAAAGATTGGAATATGGCATAGTTTGATCTAAAAGATTAACTTCTGCCGTTTAGAAAAGACTTCATGCTCAAGCCTGCTTTTTTTTNTTTTTTAGAGACAGGTCTAGCTCTGTAGCCAGGCTGGAGTGCAGTGGCGCCATCTCGGCTCACTGCAACCTCCGCCTCTCGGGTTCAAGCGATTCTCTTGCCTCGGCCTCCCGAGCAGCCAGGACTGCTACAGGCGCCTGCCACCAGGCCCAGCTAATTTTTGTGTATTTAGTAGACCCAGGGTTTCACCATGTTGGTCAGGCATGTCTTGAACTCCTGACCTCAGGTGATCCACCCGCCTGGGCCTCCCAGAGTGGTGGGATTACAGGCGTGAGCCACCGCGCCCGGCCTCAAATCGGCTTTTTAAAAGTTGCCTTGGTCAAGTGTTGAAGATAGTTCGCTCCTAACAGCCCTTCTTGAAAGAAAGAAAATAAAAGAAAGAAAAAGAAAGAGAGAGAAAGAAAAAGAAAGGAAGGAAGGAAGGAAGAAGAAAGAGAGAGAGAGAGAGAGAGAAAGAAAGAGAAAAAGAAAAAGAGAAAGAAAGAAAGAAAGAAAGAAAGAAAGAAAGAAGAAAGAAAGAAAGAAAGAAAGAAAGAAGAAAGAAAGAAAGAAAGAAAGAAAGAAAGAAAGAAAGAAAGAAAGAAAGAAAGAGAGAGAAGGGAAGGAAGGAAGGAAGAAAAAAAGAAAGAAAGAAAAGTTCAGGAAACAGCACTTCGGAGAGTTTGCAATCCTCAGATCAGTGCAGCGTGTGTGTATGTGTAAGACGCAGATGGTGAAAATATAAAATGCTACAGATGCCAAGAAGGGACGGTGTTTTGCACCACACCAACCTTTGAACAAACGTAAGGTTGCGGAATGCAGTCTTAAAAACGGAGGGAGAATGCAATGTCTGTGTGGCTATTTCCTTGAAATGATTTAAAAAGCTGAGATACAGAAGCATTAGCAAATCGGTGCCAGGAAGGAAGTCACCGTTTAGACCCAGTGCCGCGGATCTAGCCTCGAACTCCTGCCCAGCACCCTTTAAACCCTCCCGGGACTGTGCAGAGCCGCTGAGCGCGCGCAGAGCCCAGCTCGGGGGAGGGCTTTGGGATGAAGCACGTGACCCCCGCCTGTGCAGCCGGGGCCGGGAAGTTTGCGCTCCTGAAGTCCTGGAGCGCAGCGAGGGAGGGGCAGCGCCAGCCCGCGGGTGGGTGGCTGGGTGGGGGCGTGGGTGGGGGGCGGGGGTCCTCCTATAATTAGCTGGGGAAACGCATCCGCGCCCCGCTTTTCGCAGCGGCAGCTCCGAGGGCACTTCGGGTTCTCCCCGATCCTCCAGGGGCAGCTGGGCGCTCGGTCCGCTCTGATCCCGTCGAGACCACCCGGGGCTGGCGGGAAGGAGAGGAGGCGTCTGCCGGGGAGGGCAGGGACCGGCTCAGCTCGTCTCCTGTGCGGTAGCGCTCCTTAAACTATGCTGGGGACCATCACGATCACAGGTAAGGCACCCGCCAGGTCGCCTTTGTCTTCCGACGGCAGGCGCGGGGCAAGGAAAGGGCTTTTTATTCCGCCGAATGATGAGCGTTTGGTGGGGAGCCCGGAGGTCAGTGGCAGGACGGTTGTTGGCATTTGTTTCTCTCCGCGTGCTGACGTTTTCATCAGAAGAGCATTCTCTCTTGGGCTCAGCAAGAATCAAACAACCTCAGCGTTTCATTTTTGGCTGAGCTGGAATCTTCTTGACTGTGCCTAGGGGAGACTTTGTATTTTGTGAGGGGTGGTACCTTTCCCCTTAGGGAGAGAGGATGTGGGGAGGAACAAGAGCAGGCGACTGGTTAGAAATATGTCAGATGTGTGTGAATTTGGAAGTAGGTTGTGAAAGCTTAATCTCCCGCCGTAGTCATTAGCCAAATACATTCTTCTTCTGGGGAAATTACAAGTGTTTGCATTTTGAATAAATGTACACTTGGTGGTTTAGGGAGTTAACATTTAGCTCTGGTTTAAGTGGTGGTTTTAATAAAGCCATCTTTATTATAAAATTGGTGACTAGCAAGCAACACCATTTACGAAATGAATAGTTAAAAAAAAATATGTTTCTTTAGCTTACTTTCTATGAATCTGGCCGTGAGTAGGAATTATAATATTCAATACCTACTTCTAGCAAATAACTTACACGCATCAAACTTTTAGAATGCCCTTACAGCTCTTCTAACTTGGCATTTGATAGTCTTATGCCATCACACCGTACCCTAACCTGCGAGTTTTCTCTTCGTTCCATCAGAAAATTAAACTCATTTGCTAATTTAACTTTATAGAAACAGCGTTTCTTTAAATATTTGAGAGTATTGCTACCAAATCTACATTTAAAAAAAGCAACTATAGAATTTCTAGGACTTAAAATTTTCTCAATGCAACTTTCTCCTGCAAAGCCTTGTGCTCCTGTGGAATTTTAAAAGAATGTGAAACTTTAGCAAAACAGTGTCTCTCACTTCCTATAGATTAGCTTGTTTACTTTGAGATTTCCTTAAAATTCGCCCCCCATTTTGCCTTGGCTAACCTTTCTGCCATTTACCTAGCTTGAAAGTTTATGCCGTATCTAGAAACTATTAATAAATAGGCTGTACAAAATGAAAAACTTTAAAACACAAAAATCTCCATTTTTCCACAGGTTAATTTTTCTATGAATGAAATATGCAAATGTGTATTGTATGGCCTCACAGCTGGGGGTGGTGCTTCTGAGATCATGACTTTTCTGAGTACCTTTTGGGTACAATATGATTTTTATTATATTCACTGGTCAATCAGTCACATACTGAGATTTTTTTTTTTTATTCTTATTTTCTACTGCAAATCAAACTGAGATTCTTATGGTAAAAGAAGGTGGTCGTTTTAGCAGCAATTAAAGGTTAATAAACTTGGAGCACTTGAGGGGTCTTTGAGGAGTTGGCTCAGATAATCCCAGTGGAATGACAAATGAATGGAAATAGTTGGAAGGCCTAATTTTTAAGACAAAATCAGGTAATTGGCCCTATTGTTAACGGAATTTACTTTTCTCACAATGTGGGTGTGGAGGATGTGGCAAAATCTTGCACTTTTTCCTGGTAATAAGAAAGTGTACAGAAAATCTTAAATCCATAAATTTAACAGCAAAAAACCTTAGTAGTGGAAGAAGTAAAAATGAAAGGGACTTTCAGCTTTCATTCGTTTTTTTCCTCTGTAAGTTATTCTGGTGGGGAAGATTTCATGATCATCGTCTTTAAATAGTTGCTCAGATTCTTGAAAAACCATGAGGGCTTTAAAAATTGACAATAAGGTTTAATGAAATACTAAAGGTCTCTTGCATCTTTGAGATTACTCATTTAAATACTATGGAAGATAATTGTGTTTCTCTTTAGTACTGTGTTGCCTTCGGAGGTGTGTGTTTAAACTTTACCGTTCATTAACAGGACTGATGGCATTTTGTAGTATCTATTTAGGAACGAGTTTGCATTTCTGAAAGTAAGGAAAAGCTGTCCCTTAATACTGTTACCCCCCCCCCACCCCACCACACACATACACACACACAATCCGGTTTACACAAACCACTAAAATGAATGCAGTGGAAATTGAATGATGAAATGATTGCTTATTCACATTCCATACTGTTGCCATTCTTGAGGTCTCTTTCTCTCACATCCCATTTGCAATAAGTTAGCTTGGAAACAAGAAATAAGTGATGCGACATGATGATGATCATCCCCTTCCCCACTCACATGGTAATGGCATGCCAGCAAAAAAAAAAAAAAAATTTTTTTTTTTTTCCTTTTTTTTTTTTGAGACAGAGACTCACTCTGTCACCCAGGCTGGAGTGCAGTGGCACGCCCTCGGTTCACTGCAACCTCCACCTCCTGGGTTCAAGCAATTCTCCCTGTCTCAGCCTCCCGAGTTACTGGGATTACAGGCATTCACCACCACGCCCAGCTAATTTTTGTATTTTTAGTAGAGATGGGGTATTGCCATGTTGGCCAGGCTGGTCTTGAACTCCTGACCTCAGGTGATCCACCTGCCTCAGCCTCCCAAAGTGCTGGGATTAAAGGCATGAGCCACCACAGCCGGCTAAAAAAATGCTTTTTGAATTAAGCAAGTATCATCTTTCTGTTTTCTCTAAGTCACCCACATTACTGAAACTGATAATATTGATGCTTTGCAAACTGTAGAGTATCATGAGAAATAGGGACATTATTCTTTAAAGGAGAAACTGGGGAAGAATCAATCCTCCAACATTCATGTTAGTTCTAGATTATTTATAATGCACTTCCCTATGCAGATAATTTTTACAAGAGAAAAAAAATACCTTGCACATGGCTATTTCACATCTGCTATGGAGACAGATTCCTTGTCAAAAGACTTTGGAGACATGAAATTGATACTTTCACAACTGCTAGATTGGTAACTACCACTTCCTGAGCACCTAGTCTGGCAGGCATTGTTCAGCACTTTGTGGACATTATAATTTATTCCTCACAATACTCCTGCACAAAGTGGTTGTGTAACCCTGTTTCTATCATGACAGTAAGCTTCTTGTGATTTGGTAATTACCCAAGGTTTCACAGCTAGAGTACCTTGCAAAAGACCTCTTTCTCGTTGTGAAGATGCTAATATTTGTGTAGCGTCCACATTCTTACATGCCTGCCCAGATGTTTAAGGGATCATAAAACATCAATATCAAGACCAGGGATGGGGTTTGGCACGGTGGCTTATCCCTGAAATGCCAACACTTTGGGAGGCCGAGGCAGGTGGATCGCTTGAGTCCAGAGAGTTTGAGACCAGCATGGTCTACACAGAGATCTCCTCTCTATAAAAAATTAAAAACGTAGCTGGGCATGGTGGTGCGTGCGCGTAGTCCCAGTTACTTGGGAAGCTGAGGTGGGAGGATCACTTGCGCCACTGCATTCCAGACTGGACGACAGAGCAAGACCCTATCCCTACCCCACCCCCCCAAAAAAAACAAGTCCAATGATGATGTCACCTGTATGCTTCTATATGGCATTTTTGCTTCTCTGAATTTGAGTCTATCTCCGCTTGGAGGCTGTGTGGTTAATGAGCTTTAGAACAAGGGAAGTTGGGTGTGTAGCATATGGGGGTGCATTTAGAATTCCTGGTGCAGAGAATTCCTGGAAAAATTCCAGGACAGTGCTGCGAATCTTGGGGAAAGTTAACTAGTTCCAGATGTCATATAAGCCGTTCTGATGTGCCTGGGGACACGGAGCCTGAAAAATGAACACGCCATTTCTGCAATTTCGCACTTCTTTTTCTCTACCAAAAATGATGGTAGTGGTTGTCACTGAAACCTGATAGCTAAGGTTGGGATAAAAACATTAACATTTAATAATATATAATCAGCATATTCCTTTAAAGGTTTCTTTTTTTTCCTTTTGAGACAGAGTCTCGCTTTCTTGCCTAGACTGGAGTGCAGAGGCACCATCTCGGCTCACTGCAACCTCCAGCTCCCAGGTTCAAGCAATTCTGTCTGAGCTTCCTGAGTAGCTGGGACTACAGGCTCCTGCCAAGCACACCGGCTAATTTTTGTATTTTTAGTAGAGGTAGGGTTTCACCTTGTTGGTCAGGCTGGTCTCGAACTCCTGACCTCAGGTGATCCACCTGCCTTGGCCTCCCAAAGTGCTAGGATTACAGATGTGAGCCACTGGGCCAGCCTAAGGGTTGTTTTGTTTTGTTTTGTCTTTTAAGCTTCCAAAGTAAAAGAAAACAAGTTTTACTTTATCTCTTAATCTCTATGTATTTGGAAAAGTGAGAAAAGGTGATGCTCCAGGTTTTGAACACACAGGCTGTGTCTACATCATGTGGAGCTTGAGGGGCGGGGAGCGCACAGCCAACAGGGACCACTGTAGCTCAGCCCTTCTTGGGATCACAGAGCATTTGCAGCTTTGGGGGCAGGGAGATTATGGATGTCTTCGAAATGTATATTTGTACATACACATTATAAGACCTGGAGATTGATTTTATAAATTGAGATTCACAGAACATTTATCGAGATAAACTTGGGTTAATAGCATGTAACACCTCAATGTGAAA